GTTTTGTGTTTGGATGAAAGACACTCTGTTGACTGCATTCACTTTGCCTGGCTCGACCAGTACTTTGATTAGAGGTCCTAATCAAGATCCTTGGAGAAGAACATCATGCTCGGAAGGGTGGAGGGACAGTGCAGGAAAGGAAGACCCCAGATGCAATGGATTAATATAGTAACTAGGGCAGTAAGGGTAGGTGTGTCAGTGAGACTGGCTCAGGACAGGACAGGCTGTTTGTTGTACATAGGATCACTGTGAGTTGCAGGGGACTTGAGGGCACATAACAACAACAACATCAATCAAGCTCCCAGGTGGAAAGCTCCCAGAGAAGACTGTGAGGCTAGGAGATACTTCTTTCAGGGCCAGACCTGGAAGTTTGTGTTTCTTCTGTGCTGCTAATTTGATTTTTCTGAAAGTACACTCTGAACCTTGTCAGTGGTATTTCCTTTTGTGATTGGCAGCTAGTGAGATGAGAGCCCACTTGGTATTCAGGATGCTCTGTGGCTTGTGCTTGCTATCTTAACCTTGCTTTTTGGTGTGTAACCTTCACTTGTTTGTGTCTCTGTCTTTTCTACTGGGTTGAAAAGATATACGCCACATTTATTTGGGGTTGGTTTTTTTTACCACATTTGTTTTTAATACCAATATTTTCATTGGTCAGATATTCTTCTGTTTGGTTTCAACTTTCCCATAACACACACAATACATTTCTTTCCTGTTTTAAATATCATTCTGCTGTATTTTATTGTAGTCGTATTTTTGTTTTGTTTCCATCTTTATTTTAATGCGTGTGTGTATAAGTTATGATAAGATGTGTATAACTAAATATTTACTGTTTCCAGTGATGTTAATGAATTACACTGTGTTGTGCAACTGCCAATACTATCCATTTCCAGTGTTTTCTCACCGCTGCTGGTTAACAGAAATTTAGTAACCTTCAAGCATAACCCCTCCTTTCCCCCTTCCACATCTGTGGTATTCACTGATAAACTTTGGCCTCTGTACATTTGTCTGTTCTCAATGTTTCATGCCAGTGAACTCACACACATAGTCTGTCCTCTTATGTCTAACTTATGTTACACAACACAATGTTTTCAAGTTCATCCATGGTTGTAGCGTGCATCAGGACTGATTTTTCTTTATGGCAGAATAATAACCCATCATGTGTATACGACATTTTTATAATTTCATGGTTGATAGACACTTGGGTTGTTTTCATTGTGGAGCTGTTGAGGTAATGATGTGAATATTGTTTGAGTCCTTATTTTCAGGTCTTAAGGTAGCATTTTCAGATCTTCAGGAATTCTGTATTTAGCTTTTTGAAGAACTGCTAAGTCAGCAGCCTCAGCACCATTTGAAAAACCACCAGCCGTGGATGAGGATTCTAGTTTCTCCACATCCATACCAATACCTCCTGTTTTCACATATTTCTAATACTAGCCATACTATTCAGGGAGCTCTGGTGGCTAGTGGCAAGAAGCTTGCACTACAGTCCCAAAGGTATGTGGTTCAAGGCCACCACCTGCTCTAAGGGAGAAAGATGGGCAATCTCTTCCCATCCCATTAACTGGCCCTGAAAACCCACTGAAGGGTCAGTTATGGGTAGTTTCCGACTTGACCGTACACAACAAGAGCATGAAGTGTGAAGTGCTATCTCATTTTGGCTCTGACTTACATTTCCCTAATGACATTGTACATCTTTTCATATGTTTCTTGGCCATTTGTATATTCTTTTTGGTGTACTGTCTTTTTAAGATTGTTGCCCGTTGTTTTGCTTTGTTGTTGTTGAGCTGTTTGTCTTCCTGTTACTGGCTTGTAGGAGTGCTTTATGTATTTTGGTTATGCAGTCTTCACCAGATACATAGATTTTTCCAGTGCAGTTTGTCTTTTGATTTCCTGACTGCTGGTGTTAAGAGTGTTGATTGTGGATCTGAGCAAGCTGTAATTGCTAACAAGCTCAGTCTCTTCTCCATCTATTATGGTACTGCCAATTGGCCCAATAATGAGAATCTTTGTCTTCTGATGTTGAGCTTTAATCCATATTGAAGACTACAGTCTTTGATCTTTTGCAGCAAGTGCTTTAGGTTCAGCAAGCAAGCTTGTGTCATCTGCATATTGTAGGTTGTTAATGAGTCTTCCTCCAATCTTGATGCTACACTTCTCCTCATAAAGTCCTGCTTCACGAATGATCTGTTCAGCAGACTGAAAAGATATAGGGACAGGATGCATCCCTGACACATTCCTCTCCTGATTTTGAACCATGCAGTGTTTCCTTGCTCTGTTCTGAGGACTGCTTCTTGGTCCAAGTATAACTTTTGTTTAAGCTCGATCAAGTATTCTGAGATTCCCATTTTCCTGAAAGTTTGCCACAATGAAACACAAATAGACATTCTTCTGGTACTCTCTGCCAAGATCCATCTGACATTGGCAATAACATCCCTACTGCCATGACCTCTTCTAAACCCAGCTTGTATTTCTGATGGTTCTCTGTCAATGTTAGTGTTCAAGTCTTTTCTGCATAATCTTCAGCAGGATTTTGCTAGTGTGTGATATTAGTGATATTGTTTGATAATTTCCACACTCTGTCCAGTCACCTTTTTTGGGAATGGGAATAAATATGAAAATCTTCCAGGCAGTTGGCCAAGTAATTGTCCTCCAGATTTCTTGGCACAACTTGGCGAGCACATCCAGGGCAGCATCTGTTCGCTGAAATACGTCAATTGATACTCCATAAATTCCTGAGTCTTTATTTTTTGCCAAGACTCATTAACAACCTATGATATACAACCTTGATTACTACTTTTTTTTTTAATATGAAACCTTGATTACTTCTTAGAAAAAAGGAAGCAGATGGCTGGGTAGGATAGGACTAGGAGTGAGAAAACTGTATATCCTTTCATAAACTGAAAATTATACTGTGTACATATACTGTCTTTGAAAAAAAACAAAACTTGTTAAAGAGCCTGAAAAGAAGACTAGATGAGCCTTTGTACACCTTTCACTCAGTTACATCTGTCATTAGCTCAGACCATGCTTATTTCATCAATATCCTCTACTCCTTCCTCTCTCCTTGTTTTGAGTTTAATCTCAAAACATCAGAATTTTTAGAAAAGGAGTATTTAAGCATATCATGTAAAAAGATTCTAATCTTTAAAACATAATATAAGTTTGATGAATCAGAGACCTAAAACAATAGTTTATGAAAGACAAAATAGGGATAAATAGAAGGGACCACACCTAAGTGTGATAGATGATATTCCTACTTTGGTATTAGTATAAGCTGTAAATATATCTATGTGTATAATAGAGCCAGCGGGGGGGGGAGTTATGTAACTTATTAATTACAACCACATATCTTGAGGGAACAAGTTGGCTAGGGTCTCAGGACCATAATCTTTAGGGATGTCAGGTCAGTTAACAATTGTTGTAACATAGTCAACAAAGACGGTTATTCTACTTCTTTCTTTGGTGAATGGCCATTGGGATCTTTAAAGTGTGTAAGCAGCCATCTAAGGTGCAACTGTTGGTTCCTGTCTGGAACAAAGAAGGGAGAAAGAGGCAAGATCTGTAGAAACAGTGGAGAGGACTAGTGGGCTATGCCAGCCTCAGTCTGCCCAGCTGTGAGGCCAGAAGAACTAGATAGTGTGTGGTCACCATGGCTGAGTGCTCCAAAAGGATCACAGGAGAAGCTCTTGGGCAGAGTGGGTAAGAAATGTAGAACGAAACGCAAAAACATAAACTTGGTCAGGCTTACTGGTCTGAGAGTCTGGTGGAACCCTTGAGCCCATGGCCCTTACTTACTCTTTGAGTCTGGAATGAACCTCATCCGTGTTCTCAGCTTTCATCTTGACAGTAGACCTATGAGATGAACAATCATACTAGAGAGGCTTTTCATCTTATGAACAATCAACCCACCAAAAGGGCAGCATTTGTCATTTTAAGAGGCGAGGAGGAGTAGGATAGAAGGATTACTGGAAATTAGAATGGTAGGGAAGAAGTGAAAAGAATGATGTTACTTTGCAGGTATTATCATAAAGCAAAATGAGTGTAAATGATTGAAAAACTGTTTTACTTTGTAAACTCTCATTTAAATCACAATACAATATTTTGTTGAGCACTAACTTACCTAAATTGATATTTCTATTGATTCTGACTCAGGGTGACCCCATTGTTACAGAGTAGAACTGTGTCACAGGGTTTTCTTGGCACTGATCTTTATGGAAGCTAATATCCAGGCCTTTTCTTCCATTTACTGTTGAGTGGCTTGAGCTGCCAACTTTTAGCTTGGCAGCCAAACTTGGACCATTGGTGCCACCTGCAGTAGTAAATCTTCAGTGTCATCCAAGTCACTGCCTGGTGCTCACATTACCTAGATGTCTCCTAAGTATTATTTTATTGTTTGTTAAATGTGTTCCTTTGTGTTATTCTTGATACAGTTTATTTAATCAAGCCTCTAACTCAGATTGTCATTTACACAAAGTAAAGGACAGAAAGGCAGAAGTGTGATTAGAAACAAAAACAGGGCAAAATGACATAAATAAATGATCTCTGACAGATAAACTGCAAGAAAAGAGGAAAAACGCGTACATTCAGAGGCACAGGGTTTCAAGTAAAAAATTTCTTAAGTCAAAGTATAAGGACAACTGAAAGAACAAGCAGGCACATGCTAGATGATTCTTTTTTGTGCACCATAGGGTTGGAACCAACCCACAGTTGACCTCCGGCAGGTTTTCAGAGGCAGTTAATTGCACCGGAAGAGATTGCCCATTCTTTTCCCACAGAGCTGCTGGTGGCTTTGAACCACATGCCTGTGGGATTGCAGCACAGCTTCTTGCCACTAGGCCACCAGATGATTCTTTCTTGTGGTAAATTAAAAAGAGGTGAAATGATTAGAAGAATCAGATGAGTGGTGACAGCATCAAGAAGGGTTAGGAGTCGTTGTGCCCCACCGTCCCCTGTCCTTTGGCGCTTTCTACAGACGTGGCCAGCCATCTCCTGCTGGCATAATGGCTGCCCCCAGACCCCTGGTGATGCCAGAGATCATCAAAAAGAGAACCAAGAAATTCATCCGGCATCAGTTAGACCTTGATGCCAAAGTTAAGCATAATCGGTACAGTTCCAGAAACATCAACAACAGGGTTTGGAGAAGATTAAAGGGCCATATCTTGATGACCAGCATTGGTTACGAGAGCAGCAAGAAGACAGGGCACATGTGGCCCAGTAGCTTCTGCAGATTCCCAGTCCACGATGTAAGGAGCTGGATGTGCAGCAAATCTTACTGTGCTGAGATTGCTCACACTGTTTCCTCCAAGAAGGACAAAGCCATCGTGGAAGGAGCAGCCCAGCTGGTCGTTAGAGTCACCAATCCCAATGCCGGACAGCACAGTGAAGAAGAAAATGAATAGAAGGCTTGTTTGCATGCTTTTTTAATGCTAAATAAACAACAAAAATTGCAAACCAAAAAGGTCTAGAAAGAGAGAGAGGAAACTGTTCTGGATGCAGGAAACATTAAGTATTTTACTGTGTGTTCTATTGAAATGATCTTGTATTTTCTTTTAGTCTGTTAATGGTATTTATTGCTTTTGTTGTTTTTGAATTTCAGACTTTGTATCCCTTATATAGACACCATTCTATCATAGTGTATAATTTTTTTCCCTATCTTTTGGACTTAGTTTGCTAATACTTTGTTGCACATTTTCACATTTATATCCTAAGTAGTAGTGGTCTGTAATTTTTTGCTTGTTCTCTGTGATGTCCTTGCCAGATCTTGATATTGGGATAGAACTCAACTCAGAGGATAAGTTGAGAATTTGCCACCTCTTCTGATTTTTTAAAAGAGTTTCTGAAATAGGGGTGTTGACTTCCCCTTAAGCATTTGATAAAATTCACTAGTTCAACCCTCTGGACTAGATTTTTTTCATTGTAGGAAACTTCAGATTACGAATTCAATCTCTATATTTGTTACGGGTATTTTCAGAATTTGTATTGAGTCCATTTTGTAGTTTGCACTTGAAGATTTTGTTCATTTTATCTACTGTTTTGTTGGTATACTGTGTGTCACATTAATTTGTTAGTCATATAATTTCTTTTATTTCTGTAAGGTCAGTAGTGATGTCTTCTAGTTAATTTATGATTTTAGGAATTAGAATTTTATTTTACTTTTGTTTTTTAGATTATTACAGTAGAAGCTGATGTGATTGAGATCTTTTAAGAATTATGTGTTTGGTGGCCTAGTGGTGAGAAGCTGCACTGCAATCTCAGAGGTACACAGTTCGAATCCACCAGATGCTCTGCTGGAGAAGGAGGACAATCTCCTCCTGTATCAGTCTGATCTGATTTGATGGTACACACAAAAAAAGTAATGAAATAAAATAAAAATTTAAAAAAAATTATGTGTCTAAGAAATATGTTTAAAGTACATATTTAGAAATAATATATTTGAAAATGTTTACCTTTACAAATATAATAAAATTCTTATATTTGGTTTGATGTTTCAACCTGGCTTTCAAAGAGAGCAGCTATATCTGCATAGCAGTGATTCCTCTGAGTTTGTGCTTGAACTCTTTGAACCAGTAAGAAGGCTTCTGCCCTCAGTCTGTGGATCTTAGTAATGGGCTGAAGAGTATGCTTGTACTTCACACCATTTTCAAAACACTGCCAGTTTACTTTCCACAAGATCCTTTCCAGTTCCCCTTGAGCCTCCAGACATCTCCCCACCAGCCAGAGGGGAGTGGAGAGTTTGTCAGCGACCTTTGTAGCTTTCTCATTTCCTGATCTCCAACATTTCTGGTTAGTCCTTTGCTCTGCCCCTTCCCCCAGCCTGGTCTTCAGCCCATAATTGCAGAGATGTGGGATCTCTTTGTGCTGTTCTTTCTGACAATGCTGCTTGGTGTGGGCTTTCTGTCCTCTGCGTCTAATCAGTTGTGTGCCACTTCTGGCAGGGAAGGCGCTGGTGTTCACAATTGGCACTTCTCTGGTACCTTGACTGAACTGGGGGTAAGGGAATGAGAGCAGCCCCAGGCAAGATTCCCACAGTTCTCAAAGTTCAGCAGTTTTTCATGAATGAATACTTTTCCATGTTTTTTGCCTTTGACCAATTTCCTAAGCCCTGACATGATTGTTTTTGACAATTTTGTTCCATTTAATAGTGATTTCTTGGGGATGGGAAAATTTTTTACTGACATTCCCTAGTCTGAAGCCCTCCTGAAAATGTCTTTTACTGCTTGCTCTTGAATAGGTTAATGCAAAATATTTTGTTGAGAATTGCCTTTTGTCATAGACAAGTTACTGGGCTGGCCTTGGAACCGGGAGTGACTTGTGACTGTCAGTGTGACTTGAATTAAGTGGCATGAGCTCCTTAAATCTCCGTATTTTTCATCTGTGGAAGCAAGAAACTGTGTCGAGTGACCCCCATCTTACCCAACTCTGAAGTGCTGTAGCTTTCTATTCCTTTACCTATGAAATGTCAGGAAGACAAGCATTTTCCAGTCTCAGAAGTGACTGAGCATTTGGAATCATCCTGTGGTCCCAGGACTCACTCAGCTGTCGAGTTGGTGCCAAATCTAGGAAGCTGACCCATCTGGTGGGTCTTCAGAGGCTGTAGGTCATGCTGCACAAAACTGCCCATCTTTCTCCCTCAGAACTGCTGGTGGGTTTGAACTACCTTCGGGTTAGTAGCTCGTCTCCCTCAGGATAACACACCCAGAGCTCCTGGTGGTCCCAGAATGTATCATAATTTGTAGCTGTCTTGCTAACTGGGGGTGGGGGGTGTTCCTTAGTACTGGATTATACTTAAGAAATGGAGCAGTTAAACTTGTATCAGGCATTATAATTGAAATGTTTTAAGAAAACACAAAACCAGTGGTTTTATTAAACTTTGATGGAACAGTATAAGTACCAAGTAGATATGAATTGTTTCACTGTTTGGCAAGGGCCTGTTGACTTAGAAGTAGATGGCCAGTCCTTCTTCTTAGTCTGGAAGCTCTCCTAAAACCTGCCCACCACAGGTGACCCTGTTGGTATTTGAAATATCAGAGGCATAGCTAAGACCTGGTTTAAATTGTTTTTTGTTCAGCATTCTTCTTAGTGATATAGTGCTGGTCTCTGCATTGCTTGCTGTACAGAGGTAACTCGTGGTTGCTGTGATGCTGAACACTGTGACACTGATGAGCCAGATGCGAATGGTCACCCATGGTGGGCAGTGTTTGGTGGAGCTCCCCGATTAAAACAAGCTTGGAAGCAGGAGTGGCATCCACTTCCGAAATGGCTTGCCTCTGGAAACTCTTTGAACATGGAGAAACACCAAAGTTATACAAGTGTTCAGGTCTTTCATTCATAGGGTCGCTATGAGTCATCTACGACTTAACGACACTTAGCAACAACAGCTTCTCACACCACAGCATCACACAACCTACCACAGTATGGCGGACTTGACAGATGAGTACTAGTTATGGTACTTTCATTTGCTTTACGTGCGTGTGAAAATTGGACAGCTGAATAAGGAAGACTGAAGAATTGGTGCCTTGAAAATGTGATGTTGGTGAAGAGTATTGAATATTGTGTGGACACCAAAAGAACCAACGTATCTGTCCTGGATGGAGAGTGCTCTTTTGGAGGCAAGGATGGTGAAACTTTGTTTCACATACTTTGGACATGTTGTCTGGAGGTAGTAACCTTCAGAAAAAGATACCATGCTTGGGAAGAGTATTGGGTCATTGAAAGAAGAGGACCCTAAGTGAGGTAGATTGACATGGTGACTGTGACAGTGGACTTGAGCGTGGTGGAGATTGTAGGAAGGAACAGGATAGGCTACAGTTTTCATCTGCTGTTCACAGAGTTGCTGTGAGTCATAGCTGACTCAGTGACACTTAATAACAGCAAATGTGAATTCTGTGGTCTGATAGTTTAATTTGTGGCTCTTGGGGCACGGATCTGATAGAAATTCCATGTGTTAGGAGTTTTGTAAGCTGAGCACGTAGTTATTTGCCGTCAGGTGCGTGGAATGGGTCCGGGAGTCTACTTTGGGCCCAGGGTGGGAGAGTTGGAGATGAGAGGCCCTGGGTAGCAGGTGAGCATGAAGGGGCTGCAGGAGTGGAAGGTCTTGTTGGAAAGATCAAGGTGGCAGCTGGCCTCCTGGAGAGAGTTCAGGGACTCTGGGCCCTATCTCCAAGGAGAAGGGTCCTTCAGCTCCTGACCTCTGCTTTGCCGCTCTTCCCTTCATCAGCAATTCTCTGTATCATTCATCTTGGCAGGGCAGCTGTCTTCCACGTGTCACCGATAGTGAAAGCTTTTGAGATAATAATAAAATAGGGGCTCACCACGCATCAAAATTTGGAGGTTAGACTATGAGCTGAGAAGAATAGGATGGAAAGCTGTACTGTACCTGGTAAGATGTGATGGGATCTCCAGCCCAGGTGGTCTGGATGTGCTTATGGGTGGCTGGGAGCAGTGGTCTCATCCTGGGAGGTGACAGGGCTGTACCAATGGGCTCCTGGGCTATTTCTAGTTTTAAAACAGAGCCTTTGTCCACGATTTTAGCAGTAGTGGATTTAATCCCTTTGTTGGTCATTCCTGACCGTCAAGAGGTAGAACTAAACTAGCTGGCATATAAAATACAATTTTTAGTAATTTGTTAATGTTTGTGAATTTGACAACAATTTAGTTTTGCTTGGGTCCATAATCAAACACCTATGAAAGTAGCAGTCAGAAAATCAACAGATGTTCCTACATTGGGCACATTGACTGTCTGGGACCTCTTTAAAGTTTTAAAGAGCAAGGATGCTACATTAAAGAGTAAGAGCTTCTGACCCAAGTCATGGTATTTTCAGTCACTTCATATACTTAAAAAAGTTGGATGATGAATAAAGATGACCAGAGAAGAATCGATGCTTTTGAATTGTGTTTGGGAAGAATACCAAAAGAACAAATCTATTTTTGGAAAGAAGTACAGCTGGATGCTTCTTGGAGAAGGAGAATGGTAAAACTTCATCTCATATACTTTGATCATGTTATCAGGAGGGACCAGTCATTGGAAGAGATAAGCTTAGAAGTAGTCAGTGAAGGAGAGGAAGGCCCTCAACGAGGTAGCTTGACATTGTGACTGCCATAATGGGCTTAAGCCCAGCAGGAATTGTGAGACTGACAGGATAGGCTTTCAGTCTGTTGTATTTAGGGTCACAGTGAGTCAGAGTAGATGTGATGCCACCTAACAACATGTTTAATTAGATCTACCAGTTGGGGGGTTGCTGTACTGTCCCAACAGTTATTCTAAATGTGGCGCTAGTCATCCTTTTGAATATGTGCTTGGAACGTTAAGCTCTCTGAAATCAGCCTTCCTTCATTAGCTAAGATCCACCCTCTTCTCTTTTTCTCCCCCTCCCCCAGGGCTGTTAATTTGGCCTTCTGA